TTGGAAAGTTGGTGTGTGTTGTGTTTAGTCGTTTAGTCGTGTCCGACTCTTCGTGACCCCATGGACCAGAGCACGCCAGGCCCTCCTGTCTTCTACTGCCTCCCGGAGTTGTGTCAGGTTCATGTTGGTTGCTTCGCAGACACTGTCCAGCCATCTCATCCTCGGTCGTCCCCTTCTCCTCTTGCCATCACACCTTCCCAACATCAAGGTTTTTTCCAAGGACTCTTTTCTTCTCATGAGATGGCCAAAGTACTGGAGCCTCAGCTTCAGGATCTGTCCTTCAAGTGAGCATTCAGGGTTGATTTCCTTTAGAACTGATAGGTTTGTTCTCCTTGCAGTCCAGGGGATTCTCAAGAGCCTCCTCCAGCACCACAATTCAAAGGCATCAATTCTTCGGCGGTGTGTGTTAGAGAATAGATAAGAGATAAAAGTAATAGACAATAGATAATCATAAGATATTGTAACAGTGGTTAATGTGAATGAATACAAACAAGCAAACATGTAATCCTATCCAAGTTTAATGACTGAACAATAAAAGAACATCTATGACTTTACTCCTGTGATTTACCAATCAAATAATAAATGAACCTGTTATATTTGGCAACCTGGGTCTAAGAACCTTATTTGGTATCCACTGGTGGCGGAAAGTTGTTGTGTGTTAGAAAATAGATAAGAGATAAAAGTAATAGACAATAGATAATCATAAGATATTGTAACAGTGGTTAATGTGAATGAATACAAACAAGCAAACGTGTAATCCTATCCAAGTTTAATGACTGAACAATAAAAGAACATCTATGACTTTACTCCTGTGATTTACCAATCAAATAATAAATGAACCTGTTATATTTGGCAACCTGGGTCTAAGAACCTTATTTGGTATCCACTGGTGGCAGTGTGAAAAAGGGAGAAAATAGTACATTTTGTCCGAAGGTGGACCCATGTTTCAGGGAACACACACAGGGGACACTGGGAGAATGCGACACCAAGTAACATGGCAATAGCAGCTGGGCAGAGGACAAAATGGGCCTCGCAAATGCAGTAGTTTTTTTTTTTGCCATTTCCATTAAGACCCTTTGCTTGTGAAAGGCTCCCCACTAGCCCTGTGGGAAGTTTGTTCAGGCGCTTCTCTTAGGCGATCAAGGCTTATGCAACAAGAAAGCTTTTGACTCAAGACACCGGATTCTAAATGTCTGAAGTATTTTTATCTATTTATTAAATTCACTGGGAGAACGCAACACCAAGTAACATGGCAATAGCAGCTGGGCAGATAACAAAATGGGCCTTGCAAATGCAGTGTTGTTGTTTTTTTTTTTTGCCATTTCCATTAAGACCCTTTGCTTGTGAAAGGCTCCCCACTAGCCCTGTGGGAAGTTTGTTCAGGCCCTTCTCTGAGGCGATCAAGGCTTATGCAACTAGAAAGCTTATGACTCAAGACACCGGATTCTAAATGGCTGAAGTATTTTTATTTATTTCTCTATCTATTTATTAAATTTCTAAACTGCCCATCTGACCAATGGTCACTTTGGGTGATGTACAACATAAACAGTATAAACAGTGTGAGCATATAATTCAACCAATGATTACAAATTAATATAAATAACATTAAAATCTAAATTGAAGTATATGTATGTAATAATTGGTGTAGAAGATACTGTGGTAAACCAATTGTATGAACTGGTGGGACAGTTGCCTATGCTCTTATACAGTGTTTGAAATCACTGTTGGACCAATCCTCCACGTAAATAGCTGAATTGCACCTTCTTAGCCTAACAAAAATTAATAATGGTTCCCTTGTCTTACAATCAAAATGTAGCTGAGAAGGTGTGCTCCTGTCCTATTCAGCATAGAACTTCTAAGACTTTTATGTTGATTATATTTGCAATTCATGTAGCGTTCATATTTCTTTCCCCCAAAAAGCCTTTACTATACCATTTAATAAGGAAACAAATTTCCTATATTTATTCTCTTTCATTTGCTGCCACCTGTCGGGCACTAAGAACCAGTAATTATAATAATAAAAAAAACTTGGATGCTGTCATAGAAAACAAGACGTTTATTGATTTTGCAAGGAAAAAGAAATGCATTGTAAGGTTTTGTTAAAAATGGGTTTTAATTAAATATATTGTGCATCCCTTTTTAAAGTAGAAACCTTATGGAAAATATGTGGCTCTAGGTATCAGGATAGCACCAGAAAGGAAACAGTGGAGTGAAGTGTCCCATTGAAAATGTATGTACCTGTCTCCCTGGGCAATGTATATATTTATATTCTCACTCACTCACTCAAACAGAATAGAGTGACTAACCAAGCTAACAAAATAAAAAGTTATGCAAAAACATTTCCCCTCATTCAATTGCTCTGGATAAAAACAGTTCTGTTTTCAAGGTGGCAGTTATAGAACTCAAAGGACAAAATACAGTGGTGCCTCACATTACGACATTAATTCGTTCCAGCAAAATCACTGTAGAACAAAAACGTCGTAATGCGAAAAGAAAAAACCCATCAAAACGCATTAAAACCCATTTAATGCATTCCAATGGGCTGTGAACTCACTGTCCAGTGAAGATCTTCCATAGGGCAGCCGCTTTTGCTGCCTGTGGAGCAAGGAATCCATCCCAGAAAACAGTGGGGGGCCATTTTGTTTACCCAGTGGTCATTTTGAAACCGCCAATCAGCTGTTGGAAAATTGTCGTTTTGTGAAGAATTGGTTCCTGAAGCAGGGAACCAATCATCGCAAAGCGAAATTCCTCCATAGGAAACATCGTTTTGCGATCGCAAAAAGTTCATTGTAATGCGGTTTTGTCGTTAAACGGGGCAATCGTAAATCGAGGCACCACTGTATTCTAAAGAGGATAGACAATATCTAGGTTCACAACACAAGGCCCTAAGATGCCATGTCTATAAATCCAGACTAGGGGTATGTGCACATACACACGCACACGCGCAGACGCACGCGCGCGCACACACACACACACACACACACACACTTGTATGTATGTATAACATTTCTATATTGTTGTATACATGCATGTGTAAGATTTTTATACTCTTTTTGGGTAGTCACTCTACTAAATATATGTTTTATGTGGTGAATAGCATCTTTCTAGCATCAAGAACAGGCTTGTTTGAAGTGCAAGTTATATCTTAAGAACAATCTCTCTCCCTCTTACTTTTTCCATCTCTCCATATCTATAATGATCATCATGTGTCTTTGAGTCAATTCTGACTTAATGGCTACCCTTTTCAGAATTTCCCAGGTAGAGAATTGTATTGTGCAGCAGAGCAAATCAACATTCTACAAGGCAACGATAAACACAAGGGCAACCCAAACAACAAAAAAATTACAACTTTGAAAACATGTTGAACTTGTTGAAAAACAGTCCTGAAAATTGCTTTGTGTTTGGATGAGAAGTGGTTAACTGATTTTAAAAGAGGAGTCAGGTTCTGGCATTTTCCCTTATTTGTTTCTCTTTCTAAATGGTAGTGAGCACCAGAGGGTATTTTGTAGACCAGTGGTTCTCAGCCTTGGGTTCCCAAATGTTTTTTGGACTAAAACTCCCCAGTAGCCTTCACCACCAGCTGTGCTGGCCAGGATTTCTGAGAGCTGTCATCCAAAACCATCTGAGGGCTCAAGGATATGAGCCACCGTTGACCACCTTGACTGCTGCTCTTGGTGTTGTCAACATTCAGGCCACCCTTTGCTATGTAAAGTTTGCCATCCTTTTTCCTGCTGGCAAAGTGGGCACAATTTTGTGCAACAATATGGAGCAATTTCCTGGTGTTTTGAATAATGAGTGCAGAAACACAACATCCCACTTGCATAAATCAGAATTTTTTTAAAAAAAGATTTGAATTTCTAGTTAGTTCATGAAGACAATAAACACTGAGACTGTCATGCCAGTTTAGAGAAGTATGAAAACTGAAGCATAATTGTATTATGATTTGCACCTTCATTCAGGAGGTGTGAATTAGGTGTATTTAGTGTATCAGATACCACAGAACTCTATGTTTTCTGTAGAATTACCTTTGAAATGTCATTTCTTTGAAATGTCATTTCTGTCATTTTCATCATTCTTTGGTCATTCTGGGTGAAATCATTGGAAGGAAGGAAGGAAGGAAGGAAGGAAGGAAGGAAGGAAGGAAGGAGTGCCCCTTGCCTGACCCTCCAAACACAGAGCACACAAAGGCAAACCAATACTCCTTTTTACCCCGCTGCCACCAGTTGATCACTAAATCAACATTAATTATGGAAGGATGAAGATGCAGGTCCAAACTTCACTGTCTTTTAAATAGAACAATTTTATTGATTACAGATCTCTGAATATTAATCATAGGTAACTTCTATTATCCTCAATCTCAACCTTCTATTTGTTATTACAGTTCTTATTCACTTTTCACTCTAATAACACCTCAGATCTCCCAAATACCACACTCTATCTTCTTCTCAACTCTCTCACTATGACTCTGACTGACTCTGACTGACTCCACTCTCTGACTCCGCCTCTTTATTACATTTCTCTCGGCTCCGCCTCCTAGCAACATTAGCCTGCAACATGAATATTCATAACTACTTAACATAATAAGGGTGAATGCTACAGTGGTTTTTTGGTAAGCAAAGCATTTCCTGCTCCTCCACTTGGATCTTCGAAATTAATTTTCCCACCTCACTCAAACTTCCTGAACATAGTGACCCAATTTTATGTACCACATATTAGGATGATAGATTGCACAAATAATTTTTGGCCCAGGTCTTCAGTTAAAGTCCCATTGATTTCCACAGAACTTAGACATTTCTGATATTGGGGCAGGAGAAATCTAGGGATGTGCCAAATAGGGCCTGAAGAAAACAACCCTCTCTTACATTTAGCTTCTAAATGCAAAGTTGATGCCTCATGTAGTTGAAATTGACCCTGGAAATGCTCACAATATGCACAGAAACCTGCTTTTCAGCAACGTAAAGGGGAAGATGGAAAATTCCAAGAGAATTTTTCAGGAGAAATTACCTGACCTGTTCAACATGATTAAGCTGGTTTGAGTTTTTGGGGTAGGAACTACTGCTACATAAAGCTTTCTTTAGTGCTGCTTTGACTTCTTGGTTTCGCAGACAGTAGATAAAAGGGTTCAGCACTGGAGTGACAATGGTGTAGATAACAGAAACCAGTTTGTTAAGCTCAAATGGGTGGATCCTCTTTGGTCGTGCATACATGAAAAGAGTGGCTGAGAAGAAAATGGAAACTACAGTGAGGTGAGCAGTACAAGTGGAAAAAGCCTTCTTCTGGCCCTGGGAAGTAGGAATATGCAAAATGGTGCCAATAATACAGATATAGGAAACTGTGATAATTGAGAGAGGAACCAACAGAATTAGCAAGGCCAAGACAAAATCTACTATTTCAGCTACAGTCATATCCTCACATGCCCTATTTAGCAAGGGTGAAATGTCACAGAAATAGTGGTTGATGGTGTTAGGCCCACAGAAGGGCAGTTGGGAAATAAAGGCAACCTTTAGCATTGAAGCAACGAAACCAGTTACCCATGAACCCACTGCTAACTGCATGCAGAGATGTTGGGTCATGATGGTGGGATAGCGCAGTGGGTTGCAGATGGCCACATATCGATCATACGCCATAACTGCCAGAAGGACACATTCTGTACATATGAGGGAGCTGAAAAAGTAGAGCTGAGTCATACACCCTTCAAATGAGATAGTCTTGTCTTTCACTAGGAAGTTGATAAGTAGCCTTGGAACAATAACACAAATGTACCACATCTCCAGGAAGGAGAGGTTGCTGAGGAAGAAATACATGGGTTTGTTAAGCTGAGGGTTGGTTCGGATCACAATGATGATGACCATGTTCTCTAAAAGGGTCAAGATGTAGGCCACAAGGAATATCACGAACAAAAGCACTTGCAGTTCCTTGGAGGTTGGAAATCCAAGTAAGATAAATTCCCGGATGCTAGTCCTGTTTCTGTGGTCCATAGATCTATAACAATGGGGGAAAGAGGCATGAGAATAAGAATTGGGTGGCTATGAAGCAAATACATTAGTGTCAAAAGGCCACATGTGAAAAAAGTGATTTTTAAGTGGAAAAGATCAGCTAGAACATTGATATCTTTCAATATGCAAAGTGCAAGTTCTAGCATCTTCTGCCTTTGAAGTTCAGAGAGCTGAAGTATTAAGCTTTTTTCATTCAATCAAAATGTCTGTGTTTCAGTCTCAAGATTTTTAGCTTTATTTAAAGTCAGTCTTTCAAGATTTGGGTTACCCAGCACATTTATGCTTTTATTCGAAAAGAAGAAAACCACTGTCCCAATCTATGGATTTCACCCCCTGGCATAATGCAATTAGCATAACTCTTGTTGGTGAGTTGTCCCAAGTTAAGAAGTTAGTACAGGCATTTGCTGTTACCTGCCAAGTCATGCAACTTGGCGTACCAGAGCAAACATCTACACCTACAGAGCAAACACCTACACTGATTTTTTTTAAATGTATGGCCATTTACAAATAAAAGTTAAGCAAATTGCATTATGCTTACATAAAAATTCAACTGGATATTGGCCACTGCATTTTTAGCTGCTTTCAATTTCATGGATTCTGTCTGGAAGAAACAGAAAGCCAATGTGTATCAGACAAAAAAAGCCAAGAGAGATGCAAAAGAGACTGACATTGACATTATTTTCAGTCTGATTGCCTGTTATTTTACTAATGAGCCATGGTCACTTTGTTCATTATCTGTATCCCCATCTGGTCATGGGGCCATGTGTGAGTATATGTCAACACATACAATCTCACTCTGAGGAAGTGGATTTGATCCACGAAAGTTCACATTAAAATAAAGCAGTTAGTCTTCAAGATGCCTCATGCCTTTTTCTCCCTCCCTCCCTCCTTCTCTTTTGCTTCATTGTTGTTTTTGTCTTTACACTTTCACAGACATAAACAGCTACTTCTTCAAAAACTACACCTAGTATAAAGTGTTTCACTCATCTCTTTCTTGATTATGATCTAGGAAGCACAGAAAATTTACTATGTCTGGTGCTTTGTCCAGCTAACCTTGTATTGTCAGTACTGACTTACAGTGGCTAAGATTTTCCCAACCCTACCTTAATATGATGGGGACTGAACCCGGGATCTTGGGATTGCAAACTATAAAGTGTATATGTTATCAACCACTGGGCTTATTTGGTGAAAATGCATTTTGTCAGTCAATGTAATTGGTCTTTTCATGCCCTCTTCACTCCAAAATCAAAACCTGATTTTTAAATAAAGAAGCATATACCAAAATTACATAGAGCAAGAACTAAGAGAAAAATTACTAAATATCAGACCAATTTACATAAAAGCATATACCAAAATTACATAGAGCAAGAAGAGAAAATTACTAAATATCAGAACAATTTACATGGTTATTCTCTGCTCCAGTACTCTATTGCCTAAACATGAAGCAGAAGGAAAAACATGTAAGCATCTCACCAGCTCTAGCAGCGTCACTACTGCATGACCAGATGATGACCAGTTTAATGAAAAGCATCTTCCCCCAACTAAAGGGATGCTTAAGCAATTTTTGATTTCTCTTTCATTCAGTGTTTAGGTGACAGGATATTCGAATTTGGTCTCTATTGTACCATAAAACATGTTTGAAGTTTGTGTAAATAAAAGATAACAGAAAGTCTTGGATAAAGAACAGCATAATACACACAAAAAATGATTCATTGTTCTTCTGGATGTCTGCAAACATAAACATTTGCATCTGCTGTCCAAAGACTTTGAAAAGTCTTTGTATAGAGATTGTTTAATAAGATCTTGAACATTTCTTTGATGATGATGACCTATCTGAAATTAAGAGGATGTCATTGTGAGGAGTTGGTTTTGGCAATAATCCCCATATCCTGCCAGAACAATTTGCCTTAAGGTGCATCTTCAAAATTTCTAAATTCTCTTCTGATAAATTATAATCTAATGGCTTCATTGCAAGTTTGTGTTCCTATGTTGGCCACCTTGTGTTTCCTTTATTTTAATACTGGCATGCAGATCACTTCTACAGATGAAATGAGTTATCTCTATTAAATATTTTGTATTAAATTTTGTGAACAGAAAAATCATCCATATGAGAGTTACTAGCTTCCAACTATACCTGGGTTCATTTTATGAAAAAACACTCAGTTACCTAAATTTGAAGAAACTACACCATACTTCATCTCAGTTCACATGCCTTACAATTTAAATATCCATCCCTACACTGTCACATCTTTGTCAGGTCAAATAATAATTTTCAGAAATATAGGATCAAACTGTCAATATTGGGGAAACTAAATTTAAACATGCAAAAATTAAACCATGGAAGAAAGAGCAAAAAAAAAAAAAATCATCTGAACAATAACCATTTACTGAGGCTCCATTTGCTCTATCCTCAGCCAGACTGCATACCAACATCTGTGCTCCCATAACTTGCCATATTTTCTAACAACATTGTCAGTTAACCTCATAGCAGAAAACAAGGAGACAGGCTAGGTAATTTTTCTAAACTGTAGACCAGGACTTCTGCAGTGCCCTACAATAAGGTAAGACATTGCACTTGATTTGAGAAGATCTGCTCAAGCATAGCTCTTTACCTGGAGACTGTAACTGAAAGATCAGGTCACATTTCTCCAAAATAACAGTATTACACATTGCAGCTTTTATGCACACTTCTCTGGAAATAAGTCCCATTAAACTCATTAAGGTCTAATTTGGAGCACAGGTATATAAACTGCGAAAAGTGTGCTGTTTTTTATCCTACTCTATAGCACTTGAATCACTGTCTGGGAGGTTTACAATTACATTATGCAAACTATACATATAAAATTGCATTTCACTGATTTTTGAAAGCCTCTGTGTTGGATGACATGTAATAGTACTTGGTATTTGGAAGAAACTGTGTAAAAGCTTCACTCTACAACCAATAACTCTTACCTTATTGTTAGCAATCTCAAACAGAGTTGTTTGCAAATGTCTCATTTGGTCATGTCTTTAACATCTACCATAAAAATAAACATATACATTACATTTCTAAACTTTGCAAACAGATTTCAGAAAAACAAATGAATACACAAAATCTATTGCATCTCTTACCTGGGTTTCAGGTCATCTTCCAAGAAACATTTCATATGATCTGGCAGACAATACTGGGTTAACTTTTGAACAGGTCAAATGCCTGTGAGATGTCTAAAAAGTGGAAATTAAATCTGCTTTTATGGAATCAGGAATCTATCAAGAATTACTAAAGTAAGACTTGTATCTATCTAATAGAAAATTGTTCCACTAAGGAACTATTTCAATGAGGAGCTGGAATGATAAGCCCTTGTCTAAGCCTTGTCTTCATATACCAGAGTGGGAAGGAAGAACAGTGCATCTGCCTGAATTGTACAATCTGTATAAGAGATGAAGGAGTCCTACTCAGAAAATTATCAAGGGGGCCAGAAGTTTGCTTCAAGTATTCAGGGATTTGCTGGCAAAATGTCCTTGCAAACTCAACTGGCAAGATCATATTCAAAATTATGCTTTATTATTGGAATGCTTCATATAATTGTGTTTGTACACATACTAGAGTAATGGTTCTCAAACTGAGGTCCCCAGATGTTCTTGGACTGCAGTTCCCAGAAGTCCTCACCACTCACTGTGCTGGCCAAGATTTCTATGACATCCAAGTCCATCTAGAGACCCAAGTTTGAGAACCATTGCTCTAGAGCTACACACAATTTCCTAAAGCTTGCATCCACTTACAGATCTTAGGGCCATGGCCACTTAATAAAACTAGGAACTAGATAAAAAGTTTTAGTAGTTAATATTGTGGGGATATCTGTTCTCAAAAGTAGCATGTATGTAATTTATTTAAACACATCTGTAATAATGAAATAGAAAGAGAAAGAAAATATCCACCATAGCTGCCGGACCATGAATATTAGATAATTGAAATTGTCTCTTGGGGTAATTTTATTTATAAACAACTTCATACATTTTGATTAATGAAAAGCAATCACTAACAAACAGTGTCATTTTGAGACACTAGGTGGCATATGCCGAGCTCCTGAAGAGTGAGGATCACTTCAACAGTAAGAAGCCTTAGAGTTGAATTCAAATGGTTTCAGAAGGTGTCAGGTGGGACCCTAGAAGAAGAATCAACCCAGTTGATGATATTTCGGCGCCAGGTCAAAACCTTCCTGTTCCAGAAGGCTTTTAATTGAAATAACATTAACTGTGGGTCTTAATGATGGCAATTTTAATTGTATTTTTTAATTGTATTTTAATTGTATTTTAACTGTATTTTAATCATTTTGTTTTACTGCATTGAATTTTGGTTGTTGTGAGCCGCCCAGAGACCTTTGGGTAGAGTGGGCGGCATATAAATCAAATAAATAAATAAATAAATAAATAGTTGGACCTAACAATGACAAGAAAACGAGAATTTCTCCTACTGCTTATGTCATGGAGGAGGACTGAGGATACAAGTGAGCATTGGAAAATGGAAGGTGGAACAAGACAAACAATTACGAGAGAGAGAAAGAGTTAAATATAGCTGGCGTACTTCTCAGTGGGATGGGTTTTACCTGAGTTTCAGTCATGACACATGGTGCTCATTCATGCCACTAGATGGCCTAAATGTCTAGACCGCATTATTAATGAAAATAAAACCCTATTGGGTGTGTGATCACATGGGGGAAATAGGTCACATTTTGGGCCACATGTGCAATGGCCCAGTGTGATCTATAGTGTTTCACACTGTTCACATGATGTGTGAGACATTGCACTCCAGCTCAACCCAGATCTGTGACCAAGTTGGACTCTTTTTTTGGTCCAGCTGTAGGCCTAGGACTCTTGGCTTGGAGCAACTCCCCAATGAATGGAAGGATCACTTCAGGAAAAACAAAAAGAAAAAAATAATAATTAAAAAGTTATGGCATCTTAAAGACTAAATGTTACATTTAATGAAAGCTTTCACAGGTCAAATCCATGTCCACAGTCACAAGAAGAAGACCAGGCGCCTGGTCTTTGTGTCTTTGCAGGTCCAGTATTGTTGGGGAGACGTCAGCAGGTCATGATACTTGCCTAGAGCTATGTTTTCTAGGCAGCAAAATATGCAGCTAAATCTGTGTGGGGGGAGCAACTTGGGACTCGGAGCTAGAGCCCAAATCATATGGAAAGGGATCCGCGGGATGCTGTGGTGCCATTTTTGCAGAGCATCTGCATTGGGCGCACAACCCCCTGATGTATTGCTCATACATTTCAGAGGTAATGATCTGGCCAGGCATGGTGGCGAGGCTCTGTCATTCGTGACCTCAGATGGCTGAGGGTGACGTATCCCACTCCGAGTCTTATTTGGTTTACGGTCATCCCTCGGCTGGTGTGGGATGAACGCCAAGTGCAGCAAGTTAACACTGCATGGAGGAATGTTAACAGGGAAGTGTGCAGAGCGGTATGCAATGACTTTGGATCAGTGATTGGTCACTGGGAGATCTGTGCTAATAGGCCTGAGCTTTTTCGGCAAGATGGAGTGTACCTCTCAGACATGGGCTTGGAGATATTTCTGGCATACCTTGCGGGGGGGCTGCTTTCGGAGCTGGAGAAGCTGGATGGTGGTCATGGGACTTAGCTTTGCTAGTCCCTATGCTGTGGTGGGTAGCATGGATAGAACAGGTTTCGTTGAGTCCCCTAGCAACCACAGGTAACATATAGGTCATCTGATCTCCCAGCGTTGTGGATCGTGCAATTTTAGTGCTTTGGGGGGGGAGATCTACTGGGGCCATTCCTGGACCAACAGTCAACAATGAGTAGGGGGCTGGAGGTCTGGGGCTGGTGGAATTTGGGCCTCCGGGTTCTTGCGGTCTTCACAACTGCGAGAACTTGGGGCTCAGGACTTGCCCATTATATTGGTTAGGCGTCTGTTGAGACCCCTCTGCAGAACCTGATTCCGCACTACTGCAGGATCCCCCTTTTATTGAGGGCATTAATGAATATTTAATAAAGTGTGAGCCATGTTTATTCCATAATGACTGTCTTGCATTTTTATTCCGGGGTAAGGGGGTAATGTGTATTCTCAAAACTAATTGTACGTTTATTTAATAAAGTGTGACCCATGTTTATTCTCAAAACTAATTTTACGTCTATGTTACAAATTTCATTCTGCATCTTATGGAAACTGCCTCGGTCCCTCTCTATTTTAACTTTAATTGCATGGCTAGAATTCCATAACTGTTGGGTAAATGTTAAGAATATTGACCTCAGCTGTAAGTCAAGCCAGGAGCCCATGGCTTCAGAAAATACTAGTCAGAATCTAAGTCAGTCCTTGGGCAACATAATATGCCAGTCTGGTTCTTTTGAACCCTCTGTGTATTCCTCTTCTGATACATTTTCTGTCATTATATCTGATGAAAGATACTAGAGAATTCAAAAGCCCACATCATCTTTGTGCCATTTTATTATTTTAGGGATCTCAATAACTCTGTTACACAACTTTGTATTTCATTTTTCCTTATACAGCACACAATTATTTTGTTTTCATTAAGGATATGACAGAATTTCAGATCTCTTCTTTCTTCCTTCTTAAGTCATATCAGAGTGTTGCATAACTTAAAATAAAGGATATATATATGAAATATAGGTAAAATTAAAAACTAATTAGAATGTTAATTAGACTAAAATTAAAAACAAATTAGAATGTTAATTAATTAGACCATTTTGACCAGAAACAGGCTACTTCAATAGTGTTATCTTAACCAGTTGCTAGATCTTCTTTAGTCCATGTGATAGGAAAAAAAGTGCATTAATATATTTTTGACCAGAAACAGGCTACTTCAATAGTGTTATCTTAGCCAGTTGCTGGATCTTCTTTAGTCCATGTGATAGGAAATAAAGTGCATTAATATATGTGCTATATTGCTTGAATTTCTCCAGTCACAGAAAATTTGTCCTGTATCCAAGGAGGCACATTTTATTTCATTATTATTTGATCTTTCTACTTAACTTCAAAGTCTATTAAGAAAAACAGGCTACTTCAATAGTGTTATCTTAGCCAGTTGCTGGATCTTCTTTAGTCCATGTGATAGGAAATAAAGTGCATTAATATATGTGCTATATTGCTTGAATTTCTCCAGTCACAGAAAATTTGTCCTGTATCCAAGGAGGCACATTTTATTTCATTATTATTTGATCTTTCTACTTAACTTCAAAGTCTATTAAGAACTTTAAACCACCTAGAGTGGTCTTATAGACCAGATGGGCGGGGTACAAATCAAATAAATAAACAAACAAATAAATACATAAACAAACATCAGATATAACCTCAAATGATATGAACATTTTAACTTTTTTCACAGCTGTTTTTTTTTCCAAAATATCAACATATATGCACACATATGCAGTCACAGTTCACCTTTAATGTGATGAACTTCTAAATGTATCAATGTCTATTGCTCTCTGCTTGTATTTTCAGCAAGCCTTTGGATCTGGTCCAAAGTTACAAACATTGAAATGGCATGATCTAGGAATGAGACTTTGAAAAAGCACAAATGGTTGAAAAGAATTAAATATTAGGACCCCAAAATAAAAAAAAAACAAATAGGCAATCAAAGATTTTATGGGCTGTTTCATAGTCTTGTTTAGGTGAATGTCAGGATTTTTGTTGTAGGACTCTAATGGTCACTAGGCATGACTATGGTATCATTTCTGCCCAGAATTTTCCTTAGGGCTTCCTGGACTTCTCGATTCCTTAGACAATAAATGCAGGGATTCAATGTGGGGGTTACAATAGTGTAGGCTACTGACACGAGCTTATTGAGATCAAAAGAATGGATGCTCTTTGGACGAGCATACATGAAAAGGGTTGCTGAATAGAAGATGACAACCACAGTAAGATGTGAGGCACAAGTGGAAAAGGCTTTTCTTTTTCCCTGGGCTGTGGGAATGCGTAAAATAGTTCCTATTATGCATACATAGAAGCCAATAGTGAGAGACAGTGGAATTATAAGGATTATCAGAGCAAATACAAAGTCTACCATCTCCGCCACTGTTCGGTCTGTGCAAGAGAGATTGAGCAATGGTGAGATATCACAGAAGAAATGGTTGATGATGTTTGGTCCACAGAAGCTCAATCGGGAGATAAAAAAGACCTTGATCATAGAAATTAGGAAACCAATAAACCAAGATGCCACAGCTAGCTGTAAACAAAACTGGGAACTCATTACAACTGAGTAGCGCAGTGGGTTGCAAATGGCAACAGAACGATCATAAGCCATGACAGACAAAAGGACACACTCTGCACAAACTAGAGATATAAAGAAGAAGAGCTGGGCCATGCAGCCTTCATAGGAAATGCTTTTGTTCTTTGCTAAAAAGTTAACCAGGAGCTTGGGAACAGTTACAGAAATGTACCAGGTCTCCAGAAAAGACAAGTGACTGAGGAAAAAGTACATGGGTTTTTGGAGTTGGCTGTTTGTCCTGATCAGGGTGATGATCACAATGTGTTCTAGGAGGGTTATCACATAGATAATAAGAAATATTACAAAGAGCAATATCTGAAGTTCCCTGACTGTGGGGAAACCCAAGAGGATGAAGTCCTGGACGCTAGTCTGGTTTTCCAGCTCCGTGCCTGATCCAAAGGCCTGCAAGGCTAAGAAGAAACAACAGTTACATTACAATTTAGAGAATGAGTGGAACACTTAGCAGGAAAAAAAAAAGAGAGAGAACACAACACTACCACATGCAGGAGGATGTGATGTGCATGGAATATGATTTGTGGCCAGTACATTCAGACACGTGACATTGAAGATCTTGCTGAAGGGCAGAATAAGATTTTTATTTACCGTATTTATTTATTTATTTATTTATTTGAGTCAGTAGAATTGTTGATCTTTTCTTATGTGCAACTTTCCCAAAACAGTCATTCTCACTGGTGGCCATTTGGCCACCTAGGGGGCCCTGGCACTTTTGAAAGGGGCCACAGACTGGAAACAATTATTAACACTCTACCTTATAATGTTCATTTTGTGATTTATATAATCCTGATTTAACCTACATTTCTTTCATATTGTGTTTAGGGCTGTGGGGGGAAAAAGGCTGAGAATGGCTGAGCTGTAGACTTTGGAACTTTGAAAAAAAAACAGGATCAAATATTTTCTCATGAATGAAATTAAGTGCAGATCATTGAGCTGCCTCAGGCAGACCACTGTCTATCTGCATAATTTAGTTTATCCTATGGTTAAAATGAAATTCTGATCACCTTGAAGAAAGATTTGGCTACACTAATACAGCAAATATATCTTTTTTTCCTGGGTGTAATGTAATCTCTCTTGTGTTTCTTTGTAACCATATCCATTGTACCTGTGTAATTTTTGCCCTAAGAAACTTTTGTACTCTCGGACTTTGAGGAATTGTACTAATAGACCAATTGAGCTTAAAACAAACAAACAAAAGTAAGAATCTAATAAAATACAAAATAGATGCCCACAAATTAAAATTAAAACAGCTGCAGGACAGAACCTTAGTAAAAATAGCAGTTAGCAGTAATGGAGACCTAACTCATTCACTACAAAATAACTAAAAGTATATAAATAAATAAATTCCAGATTCACCCAAATTATGCCTCTGAACCCAAAATACGACAAAAGATCATTTAATAGAAATTGATCTTATTCTTTCCTTATACAGTAAATGAAATGTGTGAACTTTACTAATTGGATATATCCTGGTTCAGACAAATAACTGTAGCATATAAATAGAGAAAGAAAAACAGACATATATTTTACACCATGGAATATCATTTAATAGAAATAGATCTCTTTTTTCCTTTTACAGCAATTAGTGAGCTTTGCCAATTTAACCATATATCCAGGTTCAGACCAAATAACTAAAGCATACAAATAGGTGGGGAAAAAAACATACCTTGCAAAAAAGCAAAACCAAACCAAACAAAGAAAAATACAACTACAACCACATGGATAAAAGACATCCAATTAGTGAAACAGAAATTTAGATACTCACAGCTCATAACGATGTTAACATTTGAAAAGTCAAAGGATATATTTGAGCCTTCCCAATAGAGTTCAATAAGAAAAACGAGAAACAAAGATCACAGTAGATAAAGGAATGTAAGATGCAGATTGCAGTAAAGATATTAAACAATCAGCTTAAATGATTTCAAACCAGCTGGATGTTCTTAATCCAATCTTTTATTGTTTCAGTAACATACTGAATTTAACCAGCAGGTGTGCCTCAGTTTCTTGAAACCTGGATGTGGCCCAGCATTGACGTAGCTTAACAAATCCATGTAAACATGATGACATGGCATGAAGGCTTGGTCCCCAGGAGCTTCCTAACTCAGCTCAAAGTCTGTCTAAAGCTTTTCCACCTCTCTTTTACAAACTAATTTAAAAAGAAAAAGTGGGTGGAGGGAGATGTGTTTAACACACTTTACGGTAAACCTCATTAATCCTAGTTGGGGGACTCATCTACCTCACAGGGAAAAAAACTTGTAGAGAACCCATTAGATACAATTTCTGTTCAATCTGCTTCATATAGAAATAATAATATTTTTCTACCTCTATTTCTTCTTATTCTATCTTTTTGTTTAAGGTACTTTTGGTCCTCTTGAGGAGAAAGGCAGACTACATGTATTTTTAAAAAGTGAATAGTTTTTCATCTGAGAAGAATTTGGTTCCTAAAAATGTGGATATGGATAAATATACAGTGGTGCCCCGCAAGACGGGCGCTCCGTTTAACGACGAAATCGCTTCACATCAATGTTTTCACGATCGCAAAAGCGATCACAAAATGATGTTCCCTATGGGGGAATTTCGCTTTGTGATGATTGGTTCCCTGCTTCGGGAACCGATTCTCACAAAGCAATGATTTTTTAACAGCTGATCGGCGTTTTCAAAATGGCCACCGGGTAAACAAAATGGCCACCCGCTGTTTTCTGGGACGGATTCCTCGCTGCACAGGCAGCGAAAATGGCTGTGCTATGGAGGATCTTTGCTGGACGGTGAGTTTCCAGCCCATAGGAACATATTAACCTGGTTTTAATGCATTTCTATGGGCTTTTTAAAATCGCTTTATGACGTTTTCATTCTACAGCGATTTCGCTGGAACAAATTAATGTTGTAATGTGAGGCACCACTGTACTCTATTGAAGAAAAGAAACAAAAAATAGTTCAATGGAGATGGGAGAGGCTAAACTCATAGAACATTTGGAGGTAACTTCCACAACAGTTATTATGTTGTCTTTGTTAGGTGAAGAAATTCTCCAACTACACAACAGGACTTTCAGTGTTGTCAGTGTGTGAGATTGGTTTTTTGAAAAAAAATCCCTCAACTGTGAGAAGGGTAACACAGTGGGTATCACAGAGACCTGGGGAGATATCCTGAAGATGGGGTGAGTCTTCATCAGCTACATCATCCAGAGTTTTCATTTAAACACCTGTTTAAGCTTGATAACCACAACTCAGTCACATAAATCTAATGTGCAGTACTTAATTTTATGGATAGGAATGTTGCGTCATCTTGATTTCAAAGTCTAAGGAGAGGGTTTGGTTCTTACTTCAATGGGAAACCACTAGATCATACCAGGGATTTCCTAACTGGGATGAAAAAGAAAACCCCACCTGGAACCCCTGAGAGCAATTGCTTTAAATGTTCCTAAATTTTACCAATGGAGCATTATATAACGGAAATGAATGAATGAATGAATGAATGAATGAATGAATGAATGAATGAATGAATGAATGAATGAATGAATGAACTGCTATTGTGATACCAGCTAGAGTGAAATGACGAGCAAGTTGATTGGGATTGGTGCTCTCTTTTCTAGGTAAAGGTAAAGGTTCCCCTTGACATTTTTAGTCCAGTCGTGTCCAACTCTAGGGGGCGGTGCTCATGGCATTTTTCAAGCCATAGAGCCAGCGCTTGTCCGAAGACAGTTTCCATTGTCACGTGGCCAGCATGACTAGGGAGCATTGTTTTACCTTCCCACCAAGGTGGCACTTATTTATCTACTCGCATTTACATGCTTTCGAACTGCTAGGTTGGTGAGGAGCTGGGACAAAGAGACAGGAGCTCAATCCGTTGTGTGGATTTGATCTTACGACTGCTGGTCTTCTGACCCTGCAGCACAGGCTTCTGCGGTTTAGCCCACAGCACCACCACGTCCCGTTACACCACTATGGCCCACCTTAAAGTTCCCCTTTTCCTCAATAGCACAGGGCTGTAACCACTGTGCTCAGTAGGCAATTGCAAAAAAAAAAGGTAAACAAAACAGTATATGACTAAGAATAGAGGAAGAAGAATCTCTTTTGAGGTTACAACCCTTGGGAAAAATGTAGTAATTTTCAGGCCTAGTCCCAAGATAGGTGACGAGGAGCTAAGGATACAATCAGTAGAAGAAATCCATTTAACGCCATTGTGTGTATTCAGAGGCAGATGAAGACAGCGACCAAAAAAATCCTTCTACTTGGAGATACAAGGTAAATTCCTGGTTCCCTGTTTTCCACAACCTTGTACATATATTTTGCTTGAGTAGGAAAGATAAAATACAGGCGACTTATATCTCCTCAGGAAAGACAGATGGCACCATGATGAGAGTATATACTGTATCTTGGGGGAAATTATTGTGTTTTACTTGGGGATGGATAGAGACTTCTCAAACCAGCAAAAATGTAAGATCTGCTGTTGTTTGTACAGTATCTTCACCCCAGGAGTCCTAAGGACGGCCCAAGATGGAACCTGTAACCATCCTAGCACTTATGAGAGCCTAAATGAAAATCTGCTCTCTCCTCTTATATTTCATTTTCAGATTTTGACAGAATGTGCACTCCTTGGCTTCAGTACCATCTTGTTCTGTTCTTTCTCTCTATTCTGTTTCTTTCTCTACCATCTGCTTTGCTGAAGAGATCTGGGTAACTCAAAAAGTTGCAAAGTATTTTGTGACATTGGAGTTAGCCTAATTTTAAAAAAGAGGAAAAACAAAGCACCAACAAGAAAATTGTGCCACATTTCAGATTAACAAGTTTATTCTAGTATGAGCTTCCTTAGATACAATTGATTTTTTCAGAGACTGTGGATTGTGTCCTCAAAGGTTCAGGATACAATAAATTTTTTTTTAGTCTCAAATATGTCATGATAATTTTGCTTTGATCTTGTTTTATTTTTTCTGCTTCTCAAGCTGGCTAACACAGCTGCCTCTCTGAAAATTTCTGATAAAGGTTTCCCTCTTATGTCCTTTTTGTGATTTAAAGTCAGGTACATTTTTTATATAATAACTGAAGTCTAGTGCAGGGTTACAAAGCCTTTTAGATACTGTTGAATGTAGTCCCTTAACCATCACGATTGGTGGGGAAGAATGAATTTATTTGTTGCTTATCAACATCTGGGTGGACATACGTTCTCCATTCTTGGTCTTGTGCTTTAGAATGATGATGACCATAAACTTGTGCCGGATGGTTTCACATTGCATTTTAATTGCAATTGCTTAATTGCAGCATAACCTGTAAAATATCACTATACTTCCCATTCAATGAAACATAAATTGTGGGAACAGTTAGCCATGAAAGTATCTTTCTTGATTCATGAGTATATCATTCCAAATAT